AAAAAAAAAAGAAAACTGTTTAGCTATGTTACCACAAGCAAGCCACTTAACCTCTCTGAATCTGTTTTCCCATCTCAAGATCTATCTTGCGAAGTGAACACTTATAAATATCAATTTCCTATGCCCCTTATCACTTGTTCCCTTTTGAGCTCCCAGTGATTGTTCTAGGACTTCTCTCTTGCAAAACTATTTAAAAATTGAAAACTGACCTGTGATATGTACAAGGGAATATTGATGATGGATATATGTATACATGTTATATTGTAAGGACAAAACCCCAACTTAAATCACTTTTAAATTAGAACATTACAGTGCTATTGAAGGTATCTGTGTACTTTTCCACAATCTCGCATCCCTGCTATTCTACAACTTCTGAATTCTTTCTAATTGCCCTGGCCCCCACTCCTATCCCCTTCTCACTTGCCCACCCTGATTTTTCGTAGATGACTCTTCTGCTCTACAGAAAAGGTAAAGACCGTTTGGAAGGAACTTCTCCAGAGACTTTCTCCTTCACCGTGAAGCATCTCTTTCTGCTCATGCTCTTTGATTCTTTCTTCCCTTCTCTCAGAGGAGTACCCTAAGTGTTGAGCAAAGGAGTTTGGACTGTGCCCTGTAAGCAAGAGGCTGCTGTTTGGGGTTTTGATACAAGGGTACAGAGACTGACATGATGAAAACAGGTTGCCTCTTCCTTTGAGACTGCAGAGAAGGGTGAAGGGTGGGTCAGGTCCCAGGCTGGTAGTGATCTTCCTGATCCTGGTTGTGGTCATGGGAATGAAAAAGGACATCCTAGAGAGATATAACAGGGAGATTTGATAGAATTTGGTGGCTTAATTGACATGTCTAGGAATGGGTCATAGGGCAAAGGTGAAGAGTAAAGATCACTTTTAGTTTAATCTGATTGACCAGGAGTAACACAGAAACAACAAAGTCCCCCAAGCACTCCCAGCCTTGTGGAGGAAGGTGATGAGTTCAGTTCAGGGCCTGTCAAGTTGGGGTGGAAATCATCTGCAGGCAACGGGAACCATGGAGATGGAGCTCCAAGGAGAGCGTAGGGTTGAAGATGGAGATTTGGGCATCTCTCAGAGATAATAGTTGAAGCTATGTAAGTGACAAAGGCTCAAGGAGCAAGACACAGAAAGAGAACATAGTTTGAAGTCAGGTAGTGTTATGCCTCCAGCTTTATTGTTTTTTTACCCAGGATTTCCTTGACTATTTGGGGTCTTTTGTTGTTCCATATGAATGTTAGGATTGTTTTTTCCATTTCTTTGAAGGATGTCATTGGTATTTTGATGGGGATTGCGTTGAATCTGCAGTTCACTTTGGGTAGTATGAACATTTTCACAATGTTAATTCTTCCAATCCAAGAGCATGGAATGTCTTTCCATCTTCTTGTGTCCTCTTTAATTTCTCTAAACAGTGATTTGTAGGTCTTGTCATAGAGATCTTTCACATACTTGGTTAACTTTATTCCTAGGTATTTTATTTTTTTTTTGGTGACTATTGTAAAAATGGACTAGCTTTCTTGATTTCTTTTTCTGCTAGTTTCTTGGAGTATAAAAACGCCACTGATTTTTGCATATTGATTTTGTATCCTGAAACTTTGCTGAAATAATTTAACAACTCTAGGAGTTTTTTCATAGGATCTTTAGGCTGTTCTATATATAGGATGATGTCATCGGCAAACAGGGACAATGTGACTTTACCTTTTCCAGTCTGGATGCCCTTTATTTCTTTCTCTTCCCTGATTGCTCTGGCTGATACTTCCAGTACTATGTTGAACAGGAGTGGTGAGAGTGGGCATCCTCGTCTTGTTCCTGTTCTTAAGGGAAAGGCTTTCAACTTTTCCCCATTCAGGATGGTATTGGCAGTGGATTTGTCATATATGGCTTTAATTTGTGTTGCGATATATCCTTTCATACCTAGTTTGTTGAGAGTCTTTATCATGAAGGGATGTTGAATTTTGTCAAATGCTTTTTCAGTGTCTATTGAGATAATCATATGGTTTTTGTCTTTGATTTTGTTGATGTGGTATATCACATTTATAGACTTGCATATATTGAACCATCTTTGCATCCCTGGGATGAATCCTACTTAGTCATGGTGTATAATTTTATGGATGTGTTGCTGTATTCTATTTGCTAATATTTTATTGAGGACTTTTGCATCCATATTCATCAAATATATTGGCCTATAGTTTTCTTTTTTGTTGTACCTTTGTCTGGTTTTGGTATCAGGGTGATGTTTGCCTCATGAAATGAGTTTGGGATAATGGCAAAGCTACAGTAACCAAAACAGCATGGTACTGGCATAAAAACAGTCCCACAAAACAGTGGAACAGAATAGAGGACCCAGAAATCAGCCCATATACCTAAAGACATCTGGCCTTTGACAAAGATGCCAAGAACACACACTGGGGAAAAGACTGCCTCTTTGATAAGTGGTGCTGGGAAAATTGGACATCCATATGTAGAAGAATGAAACTAGACCCTACCTCTTGCCATATACCAAAATCAACTCCAAATGAATTAAAGAATTAAATATACATCCTATTAAAAGTATAACACTTTAAAACTCCTAGAAGAAAACATAGGGAAAACACTTTAGGAAGTAGGACTGGGCCTAGACTTTATGAATAGGACCCCAAAAGCACAGGCAACAGATTGAAAAATAGACAAGTGGGATTATATCAAACTAAAAAGCTTCTGCACAGAAAAAGAAAAATTAACAGAGCAAAAAGATAACCAGTAGAGTGGGAGAAAATATTTGCAAAATATGTATCAGACAAAGGTTTAATATCCAGAATATACAAGGAACTCAACAACAACAAAAAAAACAAGTAACCCAATTAAAAAATGGGCAAAGGAGCTGAATAGGCATTTCTCAAAGGAAGATATAAGAATGGCCAACAGACATATGAAAAAATGCTCAACATCATTCAGCATCCAAGAAATGCAAATCAAAACCATACTGAGATATAATTTCATTGCAGTTAGGCTGGCTAATATAAAAAAGACAGAATAGTAAATGCTGGTGAAGATGCAGAGAAAGAGGAACCCTCCTACACTATTGGTGGGACTGTAAAATGGTGCAGCCATTATGGAAAATGGTATGGAGGTTCCTCAAACAACTTCAGATAGAACTGCCTTATGACCCAGCTATCCTACTGCTGGGTATATAATGAAAGGAATGGAAATCATCATGTTGAAGGGATACCTGTGCTCCCATGTTTACTGCAGCTCTATTTACCATAGCCAAGAGGTGGAACCTGCCTAAATGCCCATCATCAGACAAGTGGATAAGGAAAATGTGGTTATTTACACAATGGAATACTACTTTGCTATAAAAAAGAATGAAATTCTGCCATTCGCAGCAACATGGATGGACTTAGAGAAAATTATGTTAAATGAAGTAAGTCAGGCACAGAAAGAGAAATACTGCATGTTCTCACTTATATGTGGGAGCTAATAAAAATAAATAAATAAATAGAAAAAAAGAAACAACTATCACAATAGTTCTTTGAACTTGTTAAGAGAAGTGAACAGAAACGAGATTACTGGGGGTGGGAAAAGTGGAGAGGGAGGGGGTAAAGGGAGGAATTTGTAAAGGGCCATGAAATAAATTATATTGTATGATGATAAATTAAAAAAGAAAAGAAAGAGAACATAAGTTGAACCTTGGGTGTTGGAGAAGGAATTGTCTAGAGGTTTGGGGGTGTGGGGACAGTAGAAGATGAGGCTGTAATGGTGCCAGGTCCAGGTTATAAAGGGCCTTCTGTTCCATGATGAGAAACTTGCAACTTTAATTATATATAACTGGCAGATACTGAAGGCTTTTAAACTGGGAAGTGACATGTCAGATTTGTGTTTCAGAGAGATGTACGGTATTGGTGTTTAATTATTTTTATTTATTTATTTTTATTCTTTTGTCAGCTGGCCACTAAGGGGATCTGGACCCTTGACTTTGGTGTTATGTTTAATTATTTTTTAAATAAAGGAATTCATGATCTGAAGGATTATTAGAGTGGAGAAAGGCTGGATGTAGGAAGACCAGCGAGAAGGCTGCTGCAGGAACCCTGGGGAGAGATGATCGTGTCCCAGACTATAACAATTATGAGATAAAGAGGAAAGGGGCAGTATTTAGGTGATTTAGAGAATAGATGCACTGATTAGATAAGGTGATGAGGTGAGGAAGAATGAAAAACCTAGGATGGCTGCCGTGTTTCTGATTGGGTAGTGTATTCACTGTGGTAGAGAAGGCGTGAAGAAGAGCACCCCTGTAAGCAAGATGACTCCAAACATGTTGAGTTTGAAATGGACACACAGGTAATCTGGAGATATTGATACAGGGATAGCAGTTGAAGCCAACTGCTTGGATAACATTTGTGGAAAAATAGTAAGCGCACAACAAATGTCTGTTAATGATTCCATGAGTCATTACAGTTCCTTTGGTTTCTTTGCCCAGGCGGCCCCAATCTCACTCCCAGGCGCCGCCTTCGGCGCTGCCCACTGTGCCACCGGGCCCGTCCTGGATTCATTCCCACCTCCTTAGCCCGGCCCCGGTCCCGCCCCCGCGGCCCCCGCTCGCGTTCCCCGCCTCTGACACGACCGCCTCCCTTTTCTTCCTTCTCCGTTCCCCTGTCATCTTGCCAGCGCTGCTTCTATCGCTGCGCGTATCGTCTCGTCATCTCGCTTTCTCCCTCGGTCTGTCTGGGTCTGTCTTCGGGTGTTTCCTCTGTGCCTCCATCCGTCTGGGTCTCCGCTTCCTTGCCCCCTGCGCCCCGCCCCCTGCCCCGGCCCGTCCAATCCCGGCCGCCGGGCCTGGCGCTCCACTCTCCCATTGGCCTGTCCAGAGCCCCCCGCCCCCCCGCGCCCGGACCCCCTCCGGGCCCCTCCATTCACTCAAAGTTTGGCTCCGGCGCTGCGGAGGGAGGGGGCGGCCCGGCCCGGCCCAGCTCTGCCCCTGGCCTGCCCGACCCCGGCCCCGGCCCCCGGACAAGCCCTTATCTGATCCCAGCTACGGGTTTAAGAGTCCTTGGCCCTGCCCGTCGCACAGCTCCGTTCCTCACTCCTGCCCGCCCCGTCCGTCCATCCGTCCCGCTGCCCCGCGGCCCATCCAAGGGGTCACTCCACCTCGGACCTAAGGTAAGACCCTGGCCCTGGTGAAGGAATGCTGCCGCCCCGGCCGGGGTCCTGTCCACCTAACTCTCCTGAGACGTCGGGGCCCCCAGCCTCTTGGTCCCCACCCTGGCTATCCTCAGCGGTATAGTCCTGCTCCCCCGCCTCCAGCCTTGGGCAGTCCCAAACCGACCCTCTTGGGGACGGCTCCCCACGAAGGGAACTCTCCCCGGGCTCGTCACCTCAGCCCTCTGGTCTAAGGAAAGGGCTTTCTCGATGTCCCCTTCCTCTGGCCAGACCTGCAGTTGCATTATTGCTCCTCCAATTAGTAGAGTGACCACCACACAGAACCACGCATCCCCCAACACAGGCACGCAGGACCGGGCACGCCGGACAGTGCCCCCTCCTCCCAGTATAGACAGATTACTCCATGCTCAGCACCTCCCCTCCTCCCCGTACAGTGACACTCACATAGTGACACCCACTGATCACTAGTTCACACGCAGGGAGAAAACACATACTCACAGATTAGATTAAGGAAATGCACGAGTCTAATGTGCCTGGGACCCCCACCCACTCAGTCTCTTTCTTCCATTAGTACTAGGCTCTTCTTTCAGAACACCCCTCCCCAATACCCCTCACCCCCACCCCAGTTGTTTCGCATTGAGATGCCCATAAGAAAAGGAGCAGGGCCACTTCTCCAAGTTTGAGAAGGGCAGATTGGGCTCTATAAATCCCCCCTCCAGGTGGAGATGCCCCTTCCCATTCCATCCCTCCTGCCACCAGAAACTAGCCAAGGGCACTTGTGTTAGAGAAGAAGGTTGGAACATCTTGATTTGGGGGGAGGAGAGCTAAACCCTGGCATGGGTAGAAGGGTAAAACTGGGAAAAAGTGGAGGTGGGGTCTCTGGCATCTTGTGATTTCATTCCAGTAAATCCAGTGCCCGAGGCAGGGTGAGACAGATGGGGAAGTGAGGGTGGTGAAGTCAATACAAATTTGGATGCAAAGGGGACCCGAGCTTAAAGCCTGGTTATGTTGCTTATCGATACATATTCTGACTAAAGATTTCTGACCAGTCTCGCTGTTGCTGTGGTGTTTGAATTTCTTTTTTCCCCTACTTTTTGGACTGCTTCGGCATCTGGGTGGGAGGGAGATGATGATGATGGGAGATTTGATGCCTTCCTGTGAGGGGTGCCCCTTGTTTAGGGGTGCCGAGGAGGGCCTGGAATGGGTATAAAGAAACCAGCCCCAAAAGGGGCTGGCAGCCACCACTGAGCTCAATTTAGTTTCATCCTGAAATACTGTCCCTAATTTCCAAGGATTTTTGAACATGTTTCTGGCATGAAGGTGGGTACCATCCTGTGCTGAGGGTAGGGCTTGTTAATTCCTCGGGGTGTAGATTGGGTATGGGGGACCAAGTCTAGAAGGAACCAGGTGTCCTGGCTCATAGCTGGTTCTTCGGGGAGAAGGAAATGAGGGAAGAGGGGAGGGAAGGCATCATGCCAGGGAGAAGGTCCGGGGCTGGACTGCAGAGGCAATATGCATGGCCCAGGCAGTGCCAACTCCTTTTTCCCCTTTCCCCTCACCCCCCAGTCCTTTGGTGGTGGTGGTGAGGGAGGGAGATAGGGAGGGAGGGGGTGTTGGGGGGATGATCTGGGCCGGTCTGGCCTCCCAAAGCTCTTGCCAACCTGGATCCTGAAAGGAGCTGCTGTTTTCTGAGCCATGCCCCCAGCCTCCACCCAGAGCCCGAGCAGCCAAGTTGTCTCAGCGGATATCAAATGGCAATGACTCCACTGATTGAAGGGGTGTGGAAGTGATGGCGGAGTGGTGGGGGTGAGCGTGGGGTGTCATGGTCTCTTTCCTTTTGTGACTCTAATGCAGAATCCCACTGCTGCCCCCTACCCTGAGGAAAAAAATATGTCTCTCCAGTTGACCCACATCCAGTCTATGGGTGCATATGTTTGTGAGGGCGATTAGTTACCTGCACACTGTCATCCCCTACCTCCTCAGTGTGCCCCACTGAACCACGTCCTGCGGGCCCCACCTGCACTGCTATGCATGAGCTCGCTTACAGTTCTAGCTTTGTTGGCTTGGGCTACAAGGGAAGGCAGAAGACCCAGGAACCTTTCTTCTCTTGCCCTCCCTATAGACCACGGAGGGTAGGACACTTGGATCTGGGTGGACTCAAATGAAGTCCTCTGGAATCATCTTGTGATTGGTGAGATAAAGGGTTTAGAGCTCTAGGGGGGTGGATCAGGTAGAAGGACCCATTTCCTTGACTCCTGGGCCTCCTAGTAAAATGCTCGGTTTCTGCACACAAGATGGAAAGATAGGCCAAGACCTTCTGGCATTGGTGGGGAGAGAGAGAGACATTGGGCAATGGAGCCCCTAAATTTTCTTGCCAAAGTTTATTTAGGACAGAAGAAAAAAACCTCCACTCTCCCTCCCCTCCTGGCCTAGATTCTTCTCTTGCCTGACTGGTCAGTACTACAATCCAGGATAGCAGTGGGGCCCTGGAAGGGAGCACTGAGAAGGGACAATCCAAGGCACACCGTTGAGATGAAACTGCAGAAAGATTGGAGAGAAAGTGAAGATTTGGAATCCAAGTGTTTTAGCATGCAATGAAGGGTGGTTGGCTCAGGCAGCTCCTGGGAATAAGAGCTTTTTGAGATTTTACATCACTTCATTCTCTCTCTCTTGAACAGGCTTAATTCAATGCTTTTATTCCTTCGTGTGAGTTTAATCTACATGTTGCCACCATTCTTCATGGAGAGACTGCATCCTGGGTGGCCCCTCATCACCCCCTCCCCCCTCAGAACCTTGAAAGGGCAAAGAGAAAGGGATTGTGGGAAAAAGCCTCCCGTGGGTGTCTGCCAGCTTGGAGCCTGGATTTGAGGTGGTAGGGGAAGGGAGGGGCTGGCTCTGGCATGTGGGAGAGAAGTAAGAACTGAACTGTGTGGCCTGGAGAAAGAGGTTGGAAAAGCCTGGGCTTGAGACGACTGAATTAGCACTTCAGGCCTCCAAAAAGGTGTAACATAGAAGGGGTGTACATAGCCATTCTGCAACTCTGCCAGTGTCATAAGGCCTGGGGAGAGGATCGAGGCTGCAGCTGAAAGGACTTAGACTAGATTTCAGGAAGAACATTCCATAAACGGAAAGACATTTGAAGTGGAGATTGGGAAAAACAGGGAGACCACCTTCTAGACTGAAAAAACAAACAAAACAAAACCAAAAACCAAAACAGAAAAGCCCATCATCAAAGCTTCTGAGAGGAGCTCTGAAACTCAGAGGCGCAGGGATTATTGTGACCACTGTCAAGGATCCTGTCATGTGTGGCTGGTACAACTCTGCAGTACTGTCCCAGGCTCCTTTCTGCTCCGATGGACAGTAGGCACAGTGGTTAAGGGCATGGCTTCGGAGCCAGACTTCCTGGTTTCACCACTTAGTAACTACACAAGTCTTCTCATCCTTACAATGTGGCTAATAATAGTTGTGAGGATTAAAAGGGTCAATATTTGTAAAGGGCGTGGAATGGCACTTAGCATGTAAAAAGTACAGTTGTTTGCTGTTGTGGTCCTCTCACCTCTTTGACTTTCCTGGCTCCTGGGCCTTGTTGCAGCACTTCACTGTGGTTTTTCTGAGATTCTGTGCTAGGTGTCTATCTTTCTACCCTTCTGGAGTTTGGGAAGGTGGAAGAATGATCAGGTAGTTTAAGATGAGGTTCCTGTCTTGGGCCGGCCTGTGGCTCACTCGGTAGAGTGCGGTGCTGATAACACCAAGGCCACGGGTTCGGATCCCATATAGGGATGGCCGGTTCGCTCACTGGCTGAGCGTGGTGCTGACAATACCAAGTCGGGGGTTAAGATCCCCTTACCAGTCATCTTTTTTAAAAAAAAAAAAAAGATGAGGTTCCTGTCTTTATTCCAAGAAGCTGGCCATCACTGAGGCTGGGTCTTCATCCCCACATCCCCTTCTTTCCATGAGTTTTTGCCAAGAAATGTCCTTTCTTCAACTTAGATTCAATAAATATGAGCTGAGCTGTTGAGCTTCTCCAAAATAGTCTCTTTCCTGATTCTCAGCAACTTCTCTTTCAGCCACAGACACGAGCTTCTCTCTACCTCCACATCTTGCCCCTGATCCCTCACAGTGGCCCTGCCTGTCACTCTTCTCCTCATTCTGCCTGTTCCTCTCCCTGCCCATGCTGCCCCCACAACTACTCTCAGGTTTGTGT